TTATTGACACTTTTTTCTACTAAAAATAATTATATTTGTTATTCTGTTTGGTTTGTACTTGAAGATAAATGAGAAGGAAATTTTCGAAAATGTTTTTTCTTATGTGGACTTTTTGTTTCAAATAATAAAACCTAAAAAACTTTTTTTTCTCGCAGTTGATGGTTTGCAGTTTTATTAATTATAAAAAAAAAACTTTTTTTTATAAAGTTATTAAAAAACTTAAGGGGTTGCCCCTCGAGCTAAAATGAATCAACAAAGATCTCGCCGTTTTCGGTTTCTTTTTACCATTATAATTTAATTTTATTATAGATTAACAATTAATTAATAAATTCTGTAGTTCTGTTCAGGAAAAGGAACTTGCTCGTGAAAAAATATTAAAGAAAAATAATCTAGCTAACTTTGAAGATGCTTTTGACTCGAACTGCATAACTCCTGGTAGCATTCAATTTTTTTAAATTTTTTTTAACAACTTTATTTTTTTATAGAATTCTAGAAAAAAAATTAATTAATAATTCAAATAGAATTTGTTGTTTATTTATTCTATATATATCCAATAAATTTAAAACTTCTTTAATTTTTTGTTTAAAATTTTCTTTATTTGTAGTTTTTATTATTATTATTTAAATAATAAAGGAACTGTCTTTATGAAGAATTTGTCTGAACATTTAAAGTATTATATTTCTCACAGAATTTCTACAAATGGAAGATGGCAAAGTATAAAAGTTGTTTATTCGGGGCCTGAAGTAAATTTAAATTACATTATTTTCAATTTTATTATATAACTAATTTAATTTTAACTAAAATAATTTTTGGAAGAGCTTTAGTTTTTATATAATTTTTCTAAATATTAAATTCAAGTCAATCAATTATATTTAATTTTTTTATTTTATATTTAACAAATATACATAAAACTTCTTAATTAATATTATAAAAGTCTTATATAAAGATGGTATAATATATAAATGTAATATTCTTAAAAAATTTAAAAAAAATAAATTTAAGTTATTAATTATAAATAATTTTTTTTATAAAAAGCTAATTGAAGATTTTATAAATATAATTTTTTACTTTATTATTTTTATATTATATTTTTTTAGAGTAATTTAAATTTTGTTAATTCGAATTTTTTTTTAATTTTTTTTTAATTATTTATTTAATTAATTTTTTAATTATTTTTTAGTAACTTGTTTTTATTTTTCTGTGGATTACTTTATTATATAACTAAAGCTTAAATTTTTTATTTAATTTATTATAAATATATATTTTTATGTTTTATTATAAATAGTTATAAATTTAAACATTTTTAGATTTAGAATTTTTTTATTATTGTTATAAAATATAACTTTTTCTGTTTTGAATAAAATATTTTTTAAAGTAAATAATATTTTACTTCATTATCTTTCCATTTTATTATATTTATGACAAAAAGTTTTATTATTTTTATATTAAGATTTTTGTCTAACAATATTAATTATAATAATATCTCTGTATTTTGTTTCATAATATGAATTATAAAAAGTTATACTTTTTTTTATAATTATTTTTATTACCGTTAAATATATTTTTTTAAATTTATTAATGTTTTGTAATTTGTATATTTATAATTATTTTATAATTAAACTATATATATTTTTGGATGAGAATTAATTTTATTTTCTAAATAAAAATTTTATAATAAAATATTAAATTTTTAATATTATTTATATTTTCTAATCAGTAAATTTTATAATTTTTTTTAAAATATAAAATTTTTTTATTATTAGGAAATTTAGTTTTTTTTTATTTTTCTGTATGAAAAATTTTAATTATAACATTTTTTAAGATTTAGAATTTTTTTATTAGGAAATTTAAAACTTCATTTTTTTAATATTAAAATTAATTTTTTTTTTTGTATAATAATTATAAAATATTAATATTTTGATTTAAATTTTTTTTTATTATAATATTCTTGAAAATAATTTAGAATAAAATTTTTATAGAGAGATATGGAATATCAATTGTTATTTTTAATTTTAAAATAGATTTTATTATTCTGTATAAAAATTTTTAATAAAATATTCATTTTTATGAATTATATTTTCTTTTGTATGTTTTATTGTAAATACTTAAATTAAACTAATTTTTGTTAGATTTAGTATTTTTTTATTATAATACTATAAAATTTAATTTTATTAAATGTAGATTTTTTGATTTTATTATTCTGTAAAAAATTTTTAATAAAATATTTAAATAATTTTACATTTTTTAATTAATAAATTTTATTTTGAATAATTAAAATTTTTATTAATAATTAAGATTTAGAATTTTTTTTATTAAATTACAAAATTTAATTATTTTTATTTTATTTTATGTATAAAAATTTAAAAATTATATTTTATTTAATATATATTTTTGTAAATAATTTTTATTTATAACATTTATTTAAATTTAGAATTTTTTAAAATATTTTTACTAATACAAATATAAATTTGTTTATTATAAATAGAATCACCATTTTTAATTTTTATAAGAATTTTAAATATATTTATTTGCATTATTTTATTTTTAATACTTTATACTTGAAAATTACGTTTGTTATAATTTTTTAAACTGTATAAAATTTTATATACTTAGTTTATTCAAGAAGTTATATATAATAAATTTTAACTATTTTTTATTATATAGTTCTTTTTAAAATAATTTTTTAATAATTATAATAAATTAATTTATTTAAAATTTATCTACAATTATAATTTATTTAAGCATTTTAAATTTTTTTATGTGTATTGTGTATTATTATATATATTTTCGTGACCACAATTTTTTTATAGTTTTAACAATATTTTTTCTTATAAAAATAATTTTATATTTTACTTTTTTTTTTATACTTATTATACTATTTTAAATATAATTGAAAATCATTATAATATTTTTTAAAGAAAATATTTTGGATTCAAAACTTTTCTTGTATGTAATTTTTTTTTCCACATCCATTGGCCGCTTTTCTAAGTTTTAATTTAATTGACCAACAGGTGCCAGGAGAAGGCGAGCACAAAATAATGTCGTATATACGTGAATTTCAGAGCAGTCCTGATTGGTGCCCTAAAACAACAGTAAGTTTAATCCACGCGGTTAAATCACATGCTCACACGTGTATATTTTAGCATTGTCTTTACGGGTTGGATGCTGACTTAATTTTTCTTGGCTTGGTTTCGCATATTCCCTGCTTTGCTTTGCTCAGAGAAGAGATAAAGTTTTCTAAAGCCAAGAAAAGTTTGAAAACGTAATAATAATTATAATAAATAATGATTTTAACTAATAATAACTATTAGAATTATTCCTAAAGTATATTCTCATTACCATACAATAAAATATTATTTTTTAATAAACTTCTTTAAGGCAAACTATAAAAAATAATAAATAAAAATGTTTAAAACTATTGGTAAAAAGTTCTGGTTTATCATTATTATAGGAAAAAAGTCGGGAAAGATAATTTTATATTACTGCATTTGAGTCTTCTGCGAGAATATTGTGTGGCTGAATTCAGTAATAATGACTTTGAGAGGATTTTGGACGACTGGGTTTCTTATGATTATTTATTATGTTTATTATTATAACTATTATTATTATTAGAGAAATCATGTTCATTGTTTTATTTAATTTTATATTTTTATAAGTTTCTTGTAAATGACCTTTATTATTATCCACTACTTAATACTTATTATTTGTTATTACTTTTATATAATACATTTCTCAATATTAAAGAAATAATATATTTTTTGGCATTTATAAAAATTTATTGAAATCGAGTTTAAAAGAATATTAGACGGCTGGATTTATTATTATCTTTATTATTATTAGAGGCGTTATTACATTTATGGGTTTATCATATTATTACTATAAAGTTTATTGTCAAGTTTTCTATTATTATTATATTTTTTTATACATATAAAGAAATAATAACCTTTTTATGAAATATTTTTGGTATTCATAAAAGTTGATGCGTTCATCATAATAACGATTATTATAAAAATTCTTATATTTATTGTTTTTTATTATTATTTATTTTTCAAAATTAATTCTGAAGTTTATACGACCTTTATTATTATTTTTATTAATTATATTATACTTTTATATCATAAATAAAATAGAAAAAAATTTGTTTTAATATTTATAAAGTTAATATTATTATAACTATTTATTATTATTACATATATAAGTTATTTGTAAAGTTTATACAGTTTTTATAATTATTTATTATTATAATTTTATTTATCAAAACAAAATTTTGAAATTATTTTTTTAGTATAATAAATTTCTGCGTCTTCAATAATTCTTATTATTAAAAAAGAAATTATTTTTATTGTTTTTTATATTATTATTTAATAGATTTTTTAATTTATTTATGTTCGTTACTTTTTCTATACTTTATTTATTATTTTAAGATCAATAAAAAACTTTTGTGAAAATATTTTTTTGGAAAGTTTATATGTCTATATTTATTATTATATTTATTGCTTCTACTAAACTTTTATATTTTACTTATAAAAAGTTATTTGGTTGAAAATTTTTTTGTGTTAACTATTATTTTTGTTATTACTTTTATTTTTCTTTTTCATTATTCTTAAGGATTAAAAAAAGTTTCTATAATGCACACATTATCATTATTATTATTATTATCGGATTTTTACTAGATATTATTATGTTTTCTTGTTGGGAACGACTTCCTCCCGCATCTTCCACATCTTCATATTGCAGCTAACGGTATTGAGTTTCTAATGGATTGTTACTCTAAACTTCTTCTGGTTTGCGGTAATTTTTATGAATATATATATTTTTGGTAAAGTTGAGTTTCTTATGTGTATATTATTAAGAGGGTCAATATTTAAACGAACATGGCGTTCTGAATATTCCACTTTTTCTTAAGTTTATGTGTTTTGTTGCTGATTTTGGTTATTACTATTACTACTGTTATTATTATTATTATCAGAGTTTCTTATATTTTTTACTTTATAGATAGAGAAACCTATGAAAAACAAAATATTGCTTTAGATTTTTTTTGTGAAGAAACTGGTAAACTTTATTATTATCATTGTTATTATCATCATAATAAGAACTATTATCTCCTATTATTTAGCGTGGGAAAGTGAACCGAGCGACAATTTAAAAAAACCAGAAAATGAATGTAAAATAATTTTATTATTAAAATATTTTCATTATTACTATTATTATTATCAGGCCTTCTCACAATTTTTAAAGTGGCCAATTCGTTCAAGGAAGCAAAGTAAAATTATTATTATGATTCTTATGATTATTATTATCATTAACTTTTTTAGCGATAAACAAGATGATGACTTCTCCCTCTGGAGGATGCAGTATTATAACGAAAAGCTTGGCCAATCCCCTCGAGAAAATTATAAACGCGTTGAAAATGTTTATCATCATTATTTTAATTATAATTAATAATTGTAGTGAATAAATATTATCCAATAAAGGTTATTGTAGGAGCAACAGTAATAATAAACAATTTTCTTAAATTTTATTGGGTTACTTTTATTTATATTACTATTTACATATATTTATTTATTATTAATACTATTGATAATTTTTTTTATTAAAATTTCTTGTTTATTGCTTTGCATGAATATAAATTTTTCATAGCCAATAATATACTAAGAGTTTTATTATTTGATGCTAATTTTATTTATTTCATTAATTTTTATTAGTCTTTTTTTTTTTGGGTTAAATATATTTTTTTAATGAATTAAACAATTAACAAATAAATAAAGTTAAGTTTATGTAATTTTTGTAAAAGTATATTATTACTGCTTTTTTTATTGGTCAAATTGTTATGGAAATATTTTTGAACAATAAATTTTTGTCCTCCTATTGGACAAAAAATTTCTTATCAAACTTTATAAAAAAGCAGTTACCTATTTTTAAATTTATTGGTTAATATTGTTTTTATTCCTCTTTTCATTGGTTTATTTGTAACAACTTTGCTAAAAAATGTATGAAAATATATTCGGTTTCTCATGGTTTTTATTTAACGTTGCTAAGAAAATAATATTTATTTTCCCTTTGATTGGTTTATTTTACTTCAGATGGTTCATGAATACCTCCGAGGCATTCAGTGGGTTTTGCATTATTATTATGCCGGTAATAACTTTTTTTCACCCTTAAATTTTAAAAATATGAATTTTTTTAGGCGTGATTTCGTGGAATTGGTTTTATCCCGAACATTACGCTCCTTTTGCTACAGAAATAGCAGCTTATAAAGTTTCTGATATGTATAATTAATAATTAATAATATAAATATTTATAATGGTATTGTTAATAAAATATTTACAATACATGATAAATATTAGAAGAGTTGCCTATTAAGTTTTAGCTTTGTATGAATAATAAGTTTAAAAAATATTTTCTAGTAGAATTTTTTAAAATTATGCGATAAATAATAATAATGATAATAATAACTAAACAGAAGCAAGTAGATTTTAACTTTATTACTGGTTCTCCATTTACCCCACTCGAACAACTTATGGTTGCTTTTTATTATTATTATTATTATTATTATTATTATTATTATTATTATTATTGTTATGCTATACTATTTTGTGTTTATATTGTTAATATAATATTATTCTGTTTGTTTTATATTATTACACGATTTTTTGCAAATTATTTAGTTATTATTATATTAATATTATATTATTTTTTTTCTTATTATTAGAATAATATATTATAATTTTTTGTATATTATTATTACATATTATATAACTTTTTTGCATATCATGATTAATATTATTTTTATTATTACTATTAATATTATATATCATTATATTACTTTTTGCGTGTTATTATTATTATTATTTTTTCTATTTCTATTTATTATTTATATTACTTTTACTCTATATTATTATAAGACTTTTTCCATATTTTTATCATTTCTACTTTTTCTTCAAGGCTGTGTTGCCTCCTCAAAGTAAATCGCTAGTCCCTTCCTGCTTTCACGTGCTGATGGAGTCTCATCCAGAAACTTCTTATTTTTATCCAAAAGTATTGTTTATCCTTAAATAAACTACTCAAAACAATAATATTCTTAATAATTATTAATAATATTTATAAAATTATAATATAGAAAACTTAATATTTATTAAATTGTTTTATGTATTTATTATTTTAAAAAATTAATAATTGTTATAATAATAAGTAATAACTTTTATTATTAAAATTAAATGGAAAACATCTTATCTATTTATTATTATTATTATAATTATTAATATAGAAGTCTCTTTATTATATAAAGAAATAAACATTATTTTATTATAATTTTTATTATTTAGAAAACTTTTTGTTATACAAAGAAAGAAGCGTTATTTTATTATAATTTTTCTTATGTAGAAACTATATTATATTAAGAATGAAAACGTTTGCTTACTATATTACTATCTTTATTATACAGACAACTTTTTATTATTATGAAGAAAGCATTCTATCAAGTAAAGAGATAGTATAAAATATTTTTTATTACAATTATAACAATCTCAATAAAATTAATTTATATATTAATATTGAAGTATAGAAAACTATCGTGTAAATAAAAAATTAATATTAATATATATAATATTTATTGATTATTAATGTTATATTATTGTTACAACTATAATAAACTAATTTTTTATTTATTTATTTTATAATTATTATTATAACAATATTATTTTTATATTTTATTAAACTTGAAGCTGAAAAGGTTGAGAATACTTATTATAAATAAAAAACTTGTATATATTATTATTATCTTTTTTTTATTTATTATAAATATAACTATTTCTTATTATTATTATAAACTTTTTAAAAGTTTTTTAGTAGATTGTCTATATTTTATATATTAATATTTTCTTTTTACTTTGTTATATTTTTAAAAAAAACTGTTTATTTTTTTAATAATAAGATATTAAAAGTTTTATTATTTATTAAATTTTAGTAGATTTATACTAATAATAATATTATTGTTATGAAACTTTTATCATTACTTTCAATATTATATATAATAGAAACTTTTCGTAATGAAATATAAAATATTATTATAACTTACTTTTCATTATAAAAAAAACTTTATTTATTATTACTAACTTTTTAGGTTTACTTTTATTATTATAATAATAAATATATAAACTAATTTATTAATAAAAACTATTATATTGTATTATTAAGTTATTTTTATTATTACTATTATATTAATATTAACTTTTTATTCCTTTTTTATATTTTATATAAAAATAGCAACTTTTTATATACATAGTAGTATTATTAAAATAGTTTATTTACTTCTTGATATTATAATATTATAGCTTTTTAATAAAACTTTTATTTTTATATATTTATGAATAACTTTTTAGCTTTTTTAAGTTTTTATATATTTTTTATAATAAAAATAATTTCTGTTAAAAAATTATATATTATTTTATTATTATAATAATATTAATATTGTTTACTTCTTTAATAAAACTTTTATTATTATTATAATAAATAATATTGATATTATATACGTTTTATTAAAATTTCCCTTATTATTATTATATTGCTATTAACTTTTTTATGTGATAATAATAAAAACTGAAGTTACGAAAGTAATAATTTTTTTATTATTAATATTTTTATTAAGTTTTTAGTATCTTACAAAATTATTTATTGATAATAACTTTTATATTTAATTTTTTATGCTTAAGTTATTAAAAATGGTAACTTTTTAATATTATAAATAAAAAAATGAATTTTTTCATTCCAATATTTTTTATTTATTTATTTTTTATTATATATTATAAATAAATTTATAAGAGCTATTACTATATTAACTTTTATTAATTGTGTAGTTTTTTTTATTTTTTATTATATTAAAATTTTAATAGTACATATATAAATTTATTATTTATATAATATTTTTTCTGTTAATTATTATACAAGAAAATATTAATAAATACACAAAATTTATTATTTTTTTTTAACTTTTATAAGTGATTTCGATAATATAATTTGAAAGTATTTATTATTTAAAATATAAAAGTTATTATTTTTAACTTTTTAAAATATTTTTTTAATATTTATAATTTTTTTATTATTTAGAATTATTTATTATTATTAAATTAAATATAAGTTATTATATTATTTTACAACTTTATAAGTATTTTTATAATATTTTTTATTATATTTAATTATTTTTATTATTATTAAATATATAACATTTAACTTTTTATAGTTAATTGTTGATTTTTATTTTATATGTCCAGTTATGAACGTTTTGATTACTAATATTTATTATATTTTTAAAATTTTTTCTTAATGAATAACTTTTATTTATTAATAAGTTCCTAAGTTTTTATATTATCGAAAATTTTTTTTTAAGTATTTTTAATTTATATATATTAATAATAATAAACATTTTTTTTATATAAAATTTTAAGTTTATAGTAATAAATATCTATTAAATTAAAAACTTTTAGGAATTTTTTTTTCTCAATATATTTTTTATAAAAAAATTTTCTTGTTATTATTATTTTACTTATTTGTATGTAAAATATATTTACTTTATTGTTTTTTATAAAAGTTTGTATTTTCTACTTTTATTCAGTATTTATATTTTTATTTAATATTTATTATACTTTTTTCTATTTATACTAATCTTTTTTTTTAAACAATTTTCACTAATAATTATATCTTTTATGAGTATTTTTATTATATTTTTAATTTTTATTTACTGTTAATAAGTAGTTTTATTAAAATTATTTATTAATTATATAAATAATAATTTTTATAAGTATTTATTTATATATTTTTAATAATAAATCTTTTCGTTAGGAAATTTTTTTTTCATAAAAAATAAATTTATCATTATTATTTTACATAAAAATTATTTTTTTAAACTTATAACTATTGTTACAATTTTTTTAATGAAATATATATAAAATAGTAATAAAAGTTTTTATTACTAATGTTAATTATAATAAATATATAAACTTTTGAGCTTTTTTATTTATATATAATAATAAAAATGTTTTATTATTATATTTTATAATAAATTTTTTTTTTGTGATCAAACATTTACTAACTTACATAGTATTGCAAAATATATAAAGTTGTTAACAAAATTAATAAGTAATAATATTCAACAAGCTTTCTTATTCTGTAGAGGTTAACAGGAAAGAAGATTATATGAAGTTTTCTTTTTAATATTGATGAAATAATATAATAATAATGACTGATCTAATTTTCTTATATAATAAAAGAAATATAAAAAGTTAATAATAAAATAATATTCGTAATACTAAGAGAAAACTTTTACAGTTTTATTATTTTTTATAATAATAATTATTATTGTATATATATTTTATTATTTATTCTGTTATTATTATATTTACTTTTATATATTTACGTTATTATTTTTATGAAGGACTTTAAAATAGATTTGAACGGCAAAATAAATGACTGGGAAGCGCTTGTTTGTTTTACTTTTTCATAACCTTTTTATATTTTAACTAAATATTTATTATAAGAAAAGCAGAATATTTATTTTTTTTTTAAGTGAAACTTAAAAGTTATTATTATTACTTAAAGAGAGTTTTTTAAATTTATAATAATAATCTTAATAATGATAACAATAATAATGATAGTAACAGTAATATAAATAATAATGCGTTTTACTTTTTTCAGGTTCTTCTTCCTTTTATAAATGAAAAAGTTTTACTCGATGCGATGCGACCGCTTTACGTATTCACATATTATATTATTTATGTTATTGATATCTATTTATATTATTTTTTATTATTTATTATTCCTTATACTTGTTATTTATTAATATTATGTTTTATAATATATATATTTTTTATTAATTATATCATATTATTATAATAGAAATTTTTATCCCCCGAAGAAAATGGAAGAAATATAGCCGGAAACGAGCTTGTTTATGAGTAAACCCAATTTTTTTGGGAAAACCTCTTTTGATTGGCCAAATGAAACATTTTAGGTATTCAGAAAAGACACGTGTCGTCAAGTCTCCTGAAAATTCTTCTTTTTCTGGTTTTTTTACTCTAAATTAATTTTTATATTTTTTTTAGTTTTTTATTATTTTTCTTTATTATATATAAAATTACTTTAAAACTTCCTTTATTTGTTATTGTTATATATTTTTTATGAATAAATATTTATATATTAAACGTTTCATATAATTATTTTTATTTTTATTTTATATAAATAATTATATTTTTAAAACTTTATATATTTTTTCATTTATTATTTTAATTTATTAGTGTAGATAAATCATATTTTTGTATTTTAAAAATTTTTATTTACTATTGTTTATTTGTAAGTTTTTATTATTTTATTTCTATATATTATAAAAAAAAAAGTTTATTTTTTATTATTATTTTTATATTTTTATATACAATTATATTATTTTTTATAAACTTTTATAAATTAATATATTTTTTTTATTTTCAAAGTTTTTTCTTTATTATTTTTATTTTTGTATATATACTTTTTTAAATGTTTATTTATTTATTATTATTTTTATTTTTTATACATAATTATATTATTATATATTTTATATATTTTTTTAATATTAAAAGTTTTATTATTATTATTATTTATATAATATATTATTATATATATTTTTATTATATTATTATAAAGATTTATTATATTGTCAAGTGCATATCACCGAAAAGGAGAAACCAACTTTTCCAGTCCAGCCGTTTTCTGTAAACTTTTATTATTATTATTGGTAGTATATTGATTACGGTTGTAAAGGTTACTTGTGCGGCCTCCATGCCTATCGAAGATAAACCTTTTGCTAAGTGGATGATTTTTATTGGTAATGATACTAATAATGATAACATTAATAACAATAATAATTATAATAATAGTAGGTTTTCCCACTTTATATACACTTCCAATTTCTTTCAAACTTTCTGCTCCATATAAAGTAAATGTTTTTGGGCAATCTTCACGAAGTAAAAAATAGTTTTTCATATAATAATAATTTAATTGTAAAGAAAAATAATGAATAACTTAAAATACTG